GAGTCTGTGTTATTGTGGAATAACGCTCATGTTGGCATGAAAAGGTCCGAGTTTTGAGCTTGGTACAGGCATGGTTCATGCTTGTGGTGTTCAGAATGCTGCAATTACGTCAATGTGTTCATTTTAAAGCTGAAAATTGTACATCTGTTTTGTAACTAATGCTGACGTGCTGTGGAAAAAACGCTTTATTCTGTTTAAACGGTAACAGAGAGGGGGTTCTGTGTCTGACCCGGTTCTGTTTACTGGACTCGTTGAACGAGTGGTGTTTTAAATGGATAAAACGCTGTTTTAAAGCCGAGCGCCATCTTAGACCACTGTTAAATGCTGATCCGTTACATTTTTAACAGTAAATTGTGCATTTTGGAGGTTTAATGGACGATTGTGACCGGACTTTTCAGGCTAACTGCTAGCTGGAATCACGAGCCGTGATTGGTTGAAAACCGCTGTTTGGGTCGCTCTGATTCGCTGAGAAACGGGTGACGTGTCTGTGCGTTCACTCCCTCTGATGTCAGATTGTAAAGCCCACCTTCACTCCAACAGCACGGCGTAGATGAAGTCATGGTCTCCGCCTCTCAACGTTCGCACAGCGACGTCGAACGCGCAGCCCCACGGCGTCATCAGCTGTCACACGCTTCGCCTCAGCACACACCGGCCCACCTGTACATGAAGGTTGGTCCGCGGTCCAAACGCAGCGCACGGGCGCATTCAGAGCCTTTTCGAGGAAGCCTCGCCTTGGGTCACGCGGAAAACATTCCCGCGACACATGACGGCGGTTGAGGCGGCGGACTGGTGACATCCGTACAAAACATGACGCATCACTTAAACGCACGTTCACTCCACGAACGTTACGCAGAGTGGCTAAAAACATGCTTGCCGGACAGATGGATGGACAGGGTGTTATGTAAAGGTTACACGTTACAGTTTGCAACCCGACCCCCTCCGTTTGGAGGAGTTTTAGAGATGGTCCTGTCATCACCAGACCAAATCTCATCCCTAAATGCAGAAGTCCAAGAGCTTCTGATAAAAGTAATCTCCAGGGTTCCCAACGGAGAGGAAAACACAGGGCTTTACTCACGTTACTTCCTGGTTCCCAAACGGACCGGAGGGATGAGACCGATTTTGGATCTGTCAGCTTTCAACAAGACGATCATGGACAGACCGTTTCACATGTTGACAACCAGACAGCTGTTGGACAACATCCAGAGAAACGACTGGTTTGTTTTCCGTCAACCTAAAATATGCTTATTTTCACATACCGATCATCCCAAAACACAGAAAATTCCTGCGTTTCTCTTTTCAGGGGATGAAGTATCAGTACAACAGGCTGCCGTTTGGGTATTCCCTCGCGCCTCGTACGTTCTCAGTGTGTGGAGACAGCCCTTTATCCGTTACACAGAGCAGGGATGAGAGTTTTGTTTTACCTGGACGACCTGCTGCTGCTGTCACGCTCCAGACAGGAAGCAGTGATACAGGCTCAGGTGTTGACATCACACCTGTTAACTGGGCTTCGCCATAAATTGGAAGAAAAGCTCGATTTTCCCGGCCCAGACAATTGTTTTTCTGGGAGTGGAGTTAAATTCAACCACCATGAAGGCTCGTTTATCACAAACGAGAATCGACACTTTAAAAGACCAGCTCCGCCACGTAAGACCTGGCAGAGTGGTAACAGCTGTCTCCGTCATGAAGCTGTTAGGAATGATGTCATCAGCTCACACAGTGGTCCCGCTGGGTTTATTACATATGAGACGCCCCCAGAGGTGGTTTGTGCGTCTGCGTGTGGATCCAGTAAAACATAGAGACGGGTGATCACTGTCCCTCCCTCCGTGAGGGCAGACCTCCGACACTGGGGAAACACCCTGGTTCTGTCGGAGGGAGGCCCCGTCAGCAGACCCACGTCACACGTGTCAGTCTTCACGGACGCGTCACTGTCAGGCTAGGGGGGGACATGCCTATCTCAAGCAGTAGGGGCGCTGTGGCCCCATCACACATCAGCCCACATAAATGTTTTGGAGTGTTTCACGGTGCTGAACGTGATTCAGCATTTTGCTCCCGTGCTACAGAATCAACACGTGTTGATTCACATAGACAACAAGGTGACTGCTGCGTACATAAACCGTCAGGGGGGTGTGCGCTCAGCCCAGATGTTACACATTGCACGAAAGCTTCTGTGTTGGGCTCACCAAAATCTGCTCTCCATCAGAGCAGTTTACATACCCGGTGTTCTGAACAAAGGAGCAGATGTGATGTCCAGGGGCGGCCCACGTCACGGGGACTGGACTCTCCATCCAGACCTGATGGTTCAGACGTGGCAGAAGTTTTGGCAAAGCAGCTGTGGACCTGTTTGCGACACGAGAGAACGCTCAGTGTCAACTATGGTTTTCCCTGAGCCCGCGAGACGAACCACCGCTGGGGGTGGATGCATTTGCCCACAGCCCATGGCCCAAAACGCTTCAGTACGCGTTTCCTCCACCTCCTCTGATTTTACGGTTCCTGAACCGAGTTCAGGAGGAGGGATTGACAGCTCTCCTGGTGGCCCCCCGAGCACATGAACACACCATGGTTCTCAGCTCTACAACGCCTGCTGTCGAGGCGCCCGTGGAAACTGCCATGGAGGGAGGATGCTCTCCTCCAGGCAGGAGGAGCGATCAAGAGTTACCCAGAAATAGGTCAGCACCTGTGGGTCTGGCCACTGAGCGGTTCCGCTTAGAGAGGATGGGTCTCCCACAGGAGGTAGTGTGCACAATCCAGGATTCACGTGCTGCATCTACCACAGCGCTGTACATATCAAAGTGGACAGTTTTTCAGCGCTGGTGTACAGAGAAAGGTGTAGAGGCCACCTCATGCCCATTAGGCGGCGTGCTGTCTTTTCCACAACAGCTGATGGACAGGAAGTTGGCATTTCAGCACGATTAAAACGTACGCTGCAGCCATTTCTTCCTGCCATGAAGGGTTCGGAGACAGAACAGCTTTTAATCACCCGCTGATGAAGCGGTTTCTAAAAGGTGTACAGAGACGCAGGCCTGTTTCACGCCCATTTGTTCCACAGTGGGATTTAACGCTGGTCCTACGAGCCCTGATCAAAGCTCCATTTGAGCCTCTGGATCAGGTTCCAATTAAATTATTGTCTCTTAAAACAGCCCTGCTGTTGGCTTTAACATCCGCTAAGAGGGTGAGTGTTTTATCTGCCCTCTCTGTCGCTCCGTCATGTCTTAGAATTCAGGCTGACGGGCAGCTCAGCTGATTTAAGACCAAACCCAGCCTTTATGCCTAAAAACATCACAAGCTCTTTTAAATCAAGAGCAATATCGTTGGAGGGGTTTTTCCCTCCCCCCCACAGATCAGAAGAAGAAGCATCTTGCCATCTTCTCTGTCCGGTGCGGGCGTTGACGTGTTACATACTCAACATTTGTTTGTGCATTATAGAGATGCACCTGCAGGTCGCCCGTTATCCACCCAGCGCTTGTCACACTGGCTGTGTGAGGCCTTTTTCTGAAGCCTACAGAGCATCAGTTTTAGAGCCTCCTGTCAACCTCAGGGCGCACTCGACCAGGGGTATCGCATCTTCCACTGCCTTGCATAATGGTATGACAACGCAGGACATTTGCACTGCGGCCGCGTGGTCAACACCCTGCTCATTCATTCACTCTTATCTACGTGATGTGACGGCCCGTTCCATGTCACATTCTGTCCTTAGTGCTCTAACAGAATGAATATTGTTGTTTTCATGGAACTCTGTTTAAGCTCACATCTGTCTGCATGCTTCAGAGTGCGAGATGTGTTATCAGTCACAAGTTGTGTCTGTTATTTTGGTTCTATTGTCACTAATCAGTTCATGACTATCGTTACCAATCAGTTCATTTGATTAATAATCAGTTCATTTGTTATTATTAATCTGTCTATACTGTTCAGCCATGAACTCATAGTTACACAACATGCGTCTGTGCATGGCTCACATAATTATGCAATGCGTAATTACGCACATGGGGAGCTGAGTGACAAGACGTTTTTTGGGTGTTCGAATGGACCCAGTGAGGCGAGGACCACATTTGCTTCGCCCTTAACCCACCAAGCGACAGCCTTAAAGGGCGAAGCTTATACGAAATAGAACGTTGGTTACGTACTATAACCCCAGATTCTATGAGTAGCCCTTTAAGCGTCGAGCCTCACTGGCTCCTAAATGGCTGAAGAAAAAGCTATTTTGGGAGCCGATTTCCCGCTCTTAACGTAATTTATATGGACCGGGTAGGGCCCCCACAGCAGGTGGGCGTGGACTAAATTTTTCAGTGCAATGCTCCGCATAACGGGATAAACCCACCAAGCGACAGCCTTAAAGGGCTACGCTTATACTCATAAAATCTGGGGTTACAGTACGTAACCAACGGTTTATGAGTTACTGTTTTAAATAGCGAATTTCTGGCATATAGAACTGCTTAAAAAAGCGTTTGAAAACTAAAGTTGCTGTGAGACTTTTAGAAAAATTGCAGGTTTATTTAATTTTAAGTGCTTTAGAGTAACTGAACACTGGAAAAAGCCTGGCTCTTGTATCTGTTAGAAATAAGCTCTTTAAGTAACACTGCCAGACGGAGGCATTTACTTAGAATATTCATGCATTGGGGTGAATCCTACAAATAGGTGCCCATTCATTTGAAGAAGTTGGCTTATAACAGTACTGTTGAGTGAACTCAGAGCTAAAATAGTGTGTGAAACTCACTGCTCACTTAAATACAAATATTTACCTGTTAAAAACTCTGAAGTTGGCAACTGTGTCATCAGATAAGCGCTGAACAGTGAATAACCATGGCAGATGTCACAGAAAAGAATATTGATCCTTGTGAGATGAAGGACTGGTTGGAGAAAGCGTTAACGCTGCTCACAGAATCCTTGCATCCATATGGTGAAGAGGTGGACAGCATGAACTCAGAAGAGTTATTGGACGAGCTGAAAGAAGTTGCAGAAAGTGTCACTTCCACAGCCAGAACAAAGTCAAGCTATGACCAGCTGGCTAAATTGGCGCTCTTGTTGAAAGCAACATTCTATGCTGTGGTAAACAGAGCTGACGATCTTGCAATAAG